TCATCTAGACATTTGCAATTCGATAAACCTAGCGAATTCGGTCATCCTAAGGTTACTTCTTCATTCCCAAAAAGACGTTATGGAACGCAATAAAATTCACCATGTAAGGGCGTTGATCATCATAATGGTCATAACGCTAACCATCAATCGTCATAAGGACGCAACTATTTTGGCAATGGCTTGCCTCTTCTTCAAAACCTAAGAATATCAGATTCTCCTCTAAACGTTCCCTCATTTAGAGCATTGCAGCTGTCCGAGATACGGTTGTTTGAACTAACACCTTTGTAATCGGACAGCTTTTTGAAACACTGCATATTCGTATGAAGTGCTGAGATAACTGCGAAACTCCGGACCACAGGTGTATGCAGTGGAGAACGAACACGCGCTGTTGTCCTTACCGGGGAGCAGCGCACTTCACCACTACACCGTTCTCCACTGCATACACTGCTTATTTTCCTTAATGAAAAATGAAATAAATCAACGAGACGATTATTTTTAATCTTGCCACATCTTTGCACTTACACAGGATTTCTATCCGATTACATGCACTTTATTTACACCAACAGCTATAATAATAGTATAAAAAAGCGACAGACCCAAATTTTTATCGCCACTACAGAGTGCTACATGATAACAGGCTAGGTAGGTTGACATCACGGCAACTATGCGAGCTATGCGGAGCAACTTGCTCTCCAAAAATGGTTGGGGAAATGCATTATGTAGAAAGTGTTGCGCTCCTTAACTTCTTTGAGCTAGCAAAACCTTGTGAGACAAAGCAGATTAATGGAGTTCGCGTGTGCCAGTTTGGGTTAATGAATAGTATAAAGGTGTGAAAGATGGGACGGTGTCGCAGCAATCATTCTGTTGTTCCGCTGTCTTAGATATGTATTCACATCAATGACAACTCTTGGTGATGTAAATGAAACAAGTCATAACGCAGAATGTCAAGCACAGTTAGTAATTTATCCACCGGTGTACGTCCTATGAATACCATTAGTGCGCAGAAACGAGGAAACGATGGAAACCACATACTTTGCCGAATGGAAAACATTATTCTTTCTAAAAAAGTGAAAAAAGGGCTTGCTGAAATTCGTAATAATTTGGCATTTGTGTACGAAGACTAAACATATGCCTGTGATGGAGTATTTTCTCTCTAACTGCAGTACCATTTTTTAGGAATTTCTGAGATTACCGTAGATGAAAATATATAGGTCTTTAACTGGACTGTCGTTGTGCTATGATAGCACTCTCTTCGCTCGTTTTCACTGTCGCTTAATCGCTTTCCAAAGAACAGGCCTGATTCCTGAACGGGATCGGCTGCGAATCGAGAATCCATCGTCTCCTCATTGGCGTCCTCTACAGAGATTGAGCATATTTTTTGTTGTTGAAATCTCGAGATATTAGAGACTTCCTCCGGTTCTCATCACAAACAGTCTCCAATATGTATTGATCAAAGGGATGTTTGCAGCCTTACAACTGTGATTCTTCCAGGGCAGCATCCACTTTTGGCTTACTGCGGTGACAGTAATTCCGGCACACAGTCGACAAACCGATTTGTGATGGCACAAAAAACTTAAATTTCAGAAAAATTTTTTTTGTACACAACATCGACAAGAAAAGTAACTGCTCGTTAATATACTTAGCACCGGCCCTCATCTAATCACGGAATGATCAATCAATATATTGCCTTATAAGTCTACACAAGGTTGCTAGTGAAGCCGTATTACCACTTAATTTTTGGCCACATTGGTGGGAAGTGCTGCCGAGAAAACGAATCGAGCGAAAGATCCGCGGGGATTGCTGGGATCCGCGCAATATGGTACACGTTCTGTCTGCTCACGTATTAAAAAAAGTAAAAAAAAATTTTCATAACTTAAAGAGTTTTGTTTTGAGTGAGTTTTTCATATGACAAATGAATATATCTATCGCACTGACGACCTAAATATGGCTCGGGACAAAATTTTTTACGAGTTTTTATTTTATAGACATATTATTCCTTATTCTTCCTTTCAGCGTACCCGTGAAGAAGTGAACGTGGCAACGTGGGCGGGTAATGTTGATGATGAAGAGCAACTAGGCCCGTGAATAAATATTTACGCGTTCCTTCAAACCTTCCAGATTATTGCACAATACACGTTTGCATAAAGAAATGATTATTTCGGAACTACAGTCAATTCCAAGTCGGAACTTTTTAACAAAGGACGGATAGAGACACTACAAGTGATGTATTAATTCTAAGACAACGTTGAGTAAAAACTGACCACAATGTTAACTTTCGATTTACTGCCTATTACTATTTTTCACGGCAGGTTATTATGTGTGACTCAACCACAATGATGCTGAGATCTTTGCAAAACTCCGGATCGCAGGTATCTGCGGTGGGCAACGAGCGCGATATTACCCTTTCGGGGAGTTAACGCGTTCACCACCACACCATGCGGGTCCTTCGTTTCGCCTGTCTCTCAGCTACTGTAACGAATAGTTAGCGGCGAAGTGGATCTGTTCAGATCGCGTAGAATATTAGCCACGTGGGTCTTTTAGTTGAGGTGATTGAAGACGACTGGGAGTGATGTTGTGAGGAGCGTACTGTCCCCGCTACCCATCTGGGACGAGGTGAGTGATGGCATGTCTGCGCCGTCGAAGGCACCTGGCTTATATTGGGTGCGGGAGCCGCGTGCGTATGCAACCGCGGCCGATTGTTGATCCTAGACTGCAATAGACTGTGCCTAACTGCCCGAAACATCAAACGTCATTGGCTTCATTGTTTCACAAGAATGTAGTAAACTGTTCTACTGCTACGCCTTCTCCTTCGGATAACCTATCGTTACTGTACGACTAAAGTCAAACCTGAAGCACTATTGTGCCTGAAACACTGAACGTAATTGACCGAGTAGATTATAAAGGTCACATTGCGGTATCTGGTGTGCGACTGCGAGATGGCCATGGTATGGACCTCAAACACTATTACTTTACTGCAGACATGTAGATGATTGTTTTGTCGTCTTCTCTACGCAGGAGGAGATGGACTAATGCTTTGAATTATTAAACGAGCAGTCCGAGTACATAAAGTTCACCCGGGAGAAACCGAGAGAAAACTGGCTTCCGTTTTTGGACGTTCAAATAAACCTATCAAGTAGCGGTTACCTGACAGTGGTATCGAAAGCCAAGTAACAAGAACATCCTTGTTCATTTCCTTTCTTCCCACCCTTCACACACAAAGAGGGCGATTGTGAGAAACATGTTTCGAACAGCCACCTCTGTGTGCACTGCCAGGGAACTAAAGGAAGAGTCGCGCGACTTGGCTCGGCAAATAGCCATCTCCAATGGCTACGAAATAGTAACCCCACGAGAAGGAAAACTACGCGCCCACGCGAAACACTTGGCCAATAGTAGGTCCCGTTCATGTTGCCTTCTATAAACGATGAAGTAAGCGTAGCTCTAAAACGATGCTTAAGAAGGGCAAGTCTAGAGGAATCGGTAGCGATAGTTGAAATACCACCGACTACTCTACGTCGCCAATTAGTTCGCAACCGCCTGTATGACCGTCTGTGTGAAACAACAAATTGCGTAATTTGCCCTTACGGCAGGGACGGTGATTGCATGAGTTCAGGTACGATATACCTGATCTCTTGTAATAATTGAGGAGATGAATATATTGGCGAAACGGGCAGACCTTTGTGTATCCGTATAAAAGAACACCTAGATGGCAAACGAAAACTAAGACGAAGCACCCCACTAGGCACGCATAGGATACAAAAGCATAGCGGAGACGATTTTGAAGTAAAAGTCAATATCCTTGCACAGGAGTCCAAAACACCAGCGCGAAAACTCCTTGAGGCTTTTTGGATCAATGCCAAAAGCCCTACAATGAATAGCAGAGACGAATGCCCGGAGATCATACGCGACCTGATCCCGTACGTTCGCATCGATTTTTTATGTGGGATGGTGCAGTCGTCAACCACATGCGACTATAATCAGCTGTTCTAAACTTCCTCATTGGAAGTCACAAAAAAGCGGTGGGTTTTTCGAGAAGTTGTTGATTATGTAATTACCGGAGAGTTCTTCGTCTTTTTGTAAGTGTCATTGAAGCGTTTGGCCTAGTAGATTGTATATCAGCATACCCTTCCAGGCTCTGAAGAAGGCGTTACTGCAGAAACGTCAGCAAGCGTTGTATTGTATTGTGTTTTTTATGGAAGTAAATGTATGCTGTTTAAAAACCTCGCGATTGCTGAGCAAGAAAACGACACATNTCGCATCGATTTTTTATGTGGGATGGTGCAGTCGTCAACCACATGCGACTATAATCAGCTGTTCTAAACTTCCTCATTGGAAGTCACAAAAAAGCGGTGGGTTTTTCGAGAAGTTGTTGATTATGTAATTACCGGAGAGTTCTTCGTCTTTTTGTAAGTGTCATTGAAGCGTTTGGCCTAGTAGATTGTATATCAGCATACCCTTCCAGGCTCTGAAGAAGGCGTTACTGCAGAAACGTCAGCAAGCGTTGTATTGTATTGTGTTTTTTATGGAAGTAAATGTATGCTGTTTAAAAACCTCGCGATTGCTGAGCAAGAAAACGACACATTCAAACACTATTGTTTAGATCGTATGAAGTGCTGAGATATTTGCAAAACTCCGGACCACAGGTGTATGCAGTGGGGAACGAACACGCGCTGTTGTCCTTACCGGGGAGCAGCGCACTTCACCACTACACCATCCGGGTCCTTCGCTTTGCGTATATCTCAGCTAGTTCTATCGATCTTTTTGCCATCAGCAATCTAAACTATTGTTTAGAAATGGCATGGGCTACTGGTTTAAAACCATCAGTTATCTCTCAACTAAAAATTGACTTCCCAACATGTCCCGTCTTGTACTTGCTTATAAAAACTCATAAATTGTATCCAGAGATGATATGGTTAGACCTATCATTAGCTGCGTAGACGGCTCAACGGATAGGATAGACGGACACGTAGACACGTGCTGCGCAACCCAGCAGCGCGTACGTGATGGAGTCCTTCGACATTACCGCCCTTTATACAAACGTGTCGAATGACTCCGCAATGCAAGCCATATTCGAACTCCTTCTACAACACGAAGGAGAAATAAACATGTATGGCTTCATGGTAGCGCAGTTGATGGCACTCTTAAAAGAATGCTTGAGCTGCTCAATCTTCAGATGGTCCGGAAAGTACTACACTCAAATAAGAGGGTTGGCAATAGGACAGCGTCTGGCACCAAGTCTTGCCATTGCGTTTGTGTCTAAGGTGGAAGCACCGGTGACTGATCTCGGGCCGCTACTCTACTGTAGGTATGTAGACGACTGCTTTGTCCTTTGCTCAACACAAGAGGAAATGGACAAATGCTTCGAATTGTTAAACGCACAGTCAGAGTATATCAAGTTCACCCGAGAAATGCTATTGTATCCTATGCGATCCTAGTGGGTACTTTGTCTTGCTTTTCGTTTGCCATCTGGATGTTCCTTTATACGGATACACAAAGGTCTGCTCATGTCGCCAATAAATTTATTTCGCTATCATTTCAAGAGATCAGGCACATCGTACCTGAACCAATGCAGTCACCGTTTCTGCCGTAAGGGCAAATTGTGCAATTTGTTGGTTCACAGAAGCGGTCATATAGGCGGTTACGGACTAACTGACGACGTAGAGTAGCTCGGGTATAGTTCATCTGATCTCCTGTAAGGCGTGCGGAGACGAATACATTGGCGAAACGGGCAAACCCCTCTGTGTCCGCATAAAAGAACACCTAGCCCGAAAACATAAACCAAATACCCCGCTAGGCACGCATAGGACCCAGAGACATAACGGGGAGGGCTTTGAAGTACGTGTCACGATCCTCGCGCTGGAATCAAGAACACAAGCGCGTAAAACACTCTAGGCGTTTGGATTAATTCCAGAAATCCGAAAATGGACTGCAGGGAAGAATGCTTCATTATCACGCGTGATATTGGGCAGTATATAAGACTGTCATTCTGATGGGAGGAGCACATCACGCTTCCATGTGAATTTTGCGCGGTTGGTCTCCAAACGACATACTCAGTAAAAACCTCATAGAAATAAGGTGGTGAGCGTGCAATGCTGTGTTCAATGTGATTGAAATCTTGGTTTAGCGTTTTCTCTGTTTGGTTATGGAGGTGTTTGGCCGAATAGGTTGCTGTCAACTTGACCTTTCCAGGTTCTGAGGAATTCGAAATCCGCCGAAACGTCAGCTTATTCGTGAATAAAGAATAAAATAACACCTGGTGTTTGCTGAACAGAAGTAGAAAGAATTGTTCAATCAATGCCGAGGTTAATGGAAAGTCGGACGTGGGAGTTACTATTGTTTAGGTAGAAGACTTTTCAAGAGAGAAGTTCTCCATAGCTTTTTCTATCGATCAGGCGATCAGCAATCATCCGTCAACGGAATAAAATCTGGTCATTTGCATTCTGGTCCTCAAATTAACAACCCTATGTTGTTCAGAAGCACATCTATAGCTTTCTGAAGCTCGGAGTCATCCTTTTTTATTTGTTTTTTTTTCGAATCTAACATCTCAAACACCAGCCATTGACATTTCAAGGTCTTCACGCCTATATAAGCCACTGTTATTCGTAGATTAGAGGATGGTTCCTTGGGATGCGAGAAGGAGTTTCATCGAGCCATTCGTAGATGATCTAATAAGCCAGATCTCATTCACTCATTATATAAAAATTTGCTAGAAAACCTTTTTCATCTCTTACCATGACGTCGTCACGTCATCGCTCTTTATCGTGGTTTTTGTAACTGCACACTCTTCCATGCCCATTCATACTGCGATTTGCAGTGCTCCTTCAACATTAGCTATTAGAATACAGGAATGAAAAAGGATGTTAACGTACATGTGTTAACAACCGGTAAATGTTTTCAATGATGATATCGATACTGCACTGTCCATAAATTAAAGAGTTCACTGTAGTAAGTCTCAGAATGATCCGGGTTGAATTGTGGTTTTCATGGTTGGCGGCTTTCCTTATTTCAGCAACAAATTGCTTCGAAGAGCATTTGAAGAGAGATTCACTCTGTAGGTTTCCTTCACCTCCTACGTTTCCAACAACTCTGCTTTCTGTTTTCGGAATTTTTTCCACTTTAAAGCCAACCTATAAGTTTTCCATTTAAGCAAGAAATTATAGAAAGTCATCGTACTACAACAAGTTGGCAATCAATTTTGTCACTATAAAAACTGCCAAAATTGTTATAACAAATCCGATTTCACCTTTGAAAAGTGCGTTTCTTTCCTTCAAGATCGAGGCGCATTGTGTTCTCTATGTAGAAAACTGAAAAAAGCGCTTGAGCGGTTTCTTTTATTGCCTCTCAGCAGTTTCTAGGTCGTAGGATTTCGGGAAATGAACCGCTACTGTGTTACCTTCCATCACCAGGGATTTTAACTAGGTAGCGAAGCGTGGGATAGTGAGGCATTACCTCATTGCCTTTCTTGTCATTGCATTATCAATGATTCCATTTTCTACTATAATACTGAGATAATTGCAGAACTACGCACCGCTGGTGTCTGCGGTGGGGAACGAACGCGCTATTGTCCTTTCCGGGGAGTAGCGCGTTCACCACCAAAACATGCGGGTCCCTCGTTTCGCCTGTCTCTCAGTTAGTTCTATCGATCACTTGCCATCAGCAATCACCCGTCAACGGGATTGATCTGGGGAGCCAAAACCGGCATTGAACCCAGTTAAGCTGAGGCCGTAGCTATAACCACAATCTTAACATTTTTATTTACTGCCTATTCTTTTTAACGGCAGGGGGGGGNGGAGCCAAAACCGGCATTGAACCCAGTTAAGCTGAGGCCGTAGCTATAACCACAATCTTAACATTTTTATTTACTGCCTATTCTTTTTAACGGCAGGGTGTGTTGCAAAATATAACTAACTATATCAATCCCGTTGACGGATGATTGCTGATGCAAGTGATTGATAGAACTACCTGAGAAACAGGCGAAACGAGGGACCAGTACGGTGTAGTGGTGAACGCACTACTCCCCGGAAAGGACAATAGCGCGTTGGTTCCCCACCGCAGAGACCTGTGGTTCGGAGTTTTGCAAATTTCTCAGCACTATAGCAGTTATATTTCGCAACACACCCTACCGTTGAAAAGAATACGCAGTAAATAAAAATGTTAAGATTGTGATTCCATTTTCATCCGTCACTTTCCATCCATCATTGGTGTAAGTGGTGCTCGAGCATCTCACCTCCTTCATCCACATCGGCGTATTCGATTCCAAAGAGTTTGCTACGACCGTCGACACATGCCGAAAATCGTCTAAACCTATGGGCTACAACCTAAAGCTGCGACTACATCGTGCAGCACGGAAGGTGTTGAATGTCGACACTTTGGAACAATTCACCTTTCTCAGTCTTCTACTGTTATCTTTCTTAACGAAGTAAAGGGACGTCTTGTTTGCAAGTCTGTTTCATAATTTGCACTTACCTGAAGCGTACAGAAAAGCGTAAAGTTAGAAGTTGTCTTTTCACTCGCCGTGCTCCCAATTCGTATAGATTCGTTCTAATGACTTCCTACTCCATCTCAGTGTTTAGTTTCCGCTTACATTAACTTTTTCATATAAACGGTCATACGTAGACCATTCAGTGATGACTATTCAATTAACATAAAAACTTTAGATAAATAAAATACCTACAAGCATTTGAAACAAGGAAACATTCAATCTGACGAAGTTACAGCAATAGCCCACATGTCGTTGATATTTACTTGACTTGATCCTTGAATGGCTCGTCCTCACTGGTTGTGCGGACCCCAGCATAATCTCCACTTTTCCGAGATTTGCTGGCTAAGCCATTGTGACCCCTGAAAATCCGAGGACAGCCTGGCCAAAGTCTGCCCAAAGAAGTCACCACGACAAGCAGTCGCAGCCCTTGTGGATCAGAGAGAGATTTACCACCACGCGACTTTGTTACCAAAGACTGTGGTGGATCCTGGTATGTATTGGTTTACTCCTAGCTAGGTTTTCTAATAGAAACACCGGACTCCTTCTCAGCTTGGGAGAGCCTGCCAGGGATGAATCCCTCCGCTGCGTGTCGCAGGCCGACACCTAGGAACACCGCCTAGCGACGATGAGGCGGCAATCCGTTAAGAGGATGTCGTTGATAACCCGACAATGATGGATTATCTAGCAATTGATCTTTTCCATTACTTTTTCGAAAGTACAATTTCCTCGTATAATGGACGGATAGCACAATGGTAGTGATGTCAGTCATCACGGACACGGCGCTAGCTCGATTCGGTTCGGGGCTCACCAAGTCGCTCATCCCTCCAGGATTGGGAACATGTTACCGGATATGTCTGGTAAGCAAAACCTCTTTCTTCAATCCAATTGGGAACACTCCAGCCCGGCTATCTCAGGACTCCAGAGAGAATCGACTCGACCGGCACTCTACGACATTCAAGTTGAAATGAAAATCCTCAGGCAGTAGCCAGAGGCACTTGCAAAAGTTGGAAGATCCTCGTGGATAACGGATGGGAGGAAGCTATCCGAATAACGATAAATGCTGTGATCCGTATAGTAGACGTGAAGACGCATCGAATAAAATAAAATAAATGAAAATTTGCTCGCATAATAATTTTAGAGATCGGGCATAACTGAATAGCTTCACTAAGATCCTATCTCCTTCAGTAAACACTTGATTTTTAAGAGTTCTCAAAGAACATTTACTAAACGCATGAGATTTCGAGTTTTGGATCTCTGTGACGTTAAGGAAAAATCATTGAAGTGATTTTATCAAGATTTCATGTGACAAATGCTCATTTTGGTTATAAGAAAAGCTGATGACTGACAATGAAAGTAATCGTGTTTGGGGCGTTGATCAATCTTTTTTTCTTTGCTTCTCGTTTTCTTAAAGTGGTGTATATCATTGTCAAATGAAAGCTAAAACCAATGTTGTCGTCTTTAAAAAACTTTGATAGAATCACTTCTAGGACTTCGAACATTTTATTTCAAGCCCTTTTTTATCACATAAATTCCCAAATAGTTTATAACTGTAAATGCTGGCATGTTTATGTACTATATATCTGCAGCGTTCAATCGTCACGAAAAAGTAGTTAGTGAAAAAACACGCTATATACCTCTTGGTCATCACGATTCCATTAAATGTGAAGCGTTTGACAAATCATCAGATTTATCAGAACAGGTAAGAGAATTATTAAAATTAAAGAACAGGTATTAAGAAGACTCTCATTAAGCACTCTTAACCTTTTCATTTACTGCCTACTCTTTTTAACTGCATGGTATTTTGCGAAATATAACTACTACAATGCTGAGATATTTGCAAAACTCCAGGCTGCAGATGTCTGCGGTGAGGAACGAACGCGTTATTGTCCTTTCCGGGGAGCAGCGCACTTCACCACCACACCATGTGGGTCCTTCGTTTCGCCCGTCTCTCAG